CGCAAGAAGTCTTCCACCTCCCACTCTCATCGGATGTGCCTGTGATGTTTGTTGGTGCCGGTACTGGGAATTGCCCCGTTCCGTGGATTCTTGCAGGAGATGAAACTTGCTGGCATTGGCGGTGCTACGATGTACTTTGGCTGCCGCAGTCCCGAGTACGACTACCTATACAAGGACGAGCTCGAGCAGTATGTCCAAGACGGCACGCTGTCCAAACTGCAGACGGCATTCTCGCGTGTTGGCGATGAGCGCAGGTATGTGCAGCACCACATTTCGGTGGATGGGGCTAGGATCTGGTGGCATCTGCAGAATGGCGGCCGCATCTACGTCTGCGGATCGGCTGACAAACTGGCCAAAGATCTGACGGCTACTATGACCCGTATCTTTGAAGAACATGGCGGGCTATCTCGCGATGAGGCGAGCAAGTGTCTGTCGGACATGATCTCGGATGGTCGCTACGCTCAGGATATCTGGTAACAGGTCAAGACGGATAGTTCATTAATGTATTCATCCAAAGCTTGAGACAGTGTGAAAGCGAGATCATTGTCATTGGCATGTAGAGAAGCAGCAAATGCATGCGCGGGATCCGATGCTTGCGGTATATCGTGTGGATGTGGAGTTGGCTCTAGTCAACAAGCCAGCTTCAGGCGAGCCGTGGCAAGGCGAGCCGAGAGGACCACTAAGCGGAGAGGCGAGCTGGAGGATTATCACAGTAAAATTCGATGTGGGAGTGTTTGGGCAGTGGATCTCGGAGGTCGCGGAGGGTTTCAATCGATATCAGGACAATCTCACGCGATCCGATAACGGAACGGCACCAGGAAGAACCGACATGCGGGGATTTTTGGTGTAGGAAGCTCGATCGGAAAGTAACGCTAGAGCAGTTTAGCAGTTTAGCAGTTTAGCAGTTATCCGGAGAGGGGCTGTTGGAGTAGGGGCAGGGGCAGTGGATAACACGGAGAGAGAAGCGGACTAAGCCACAGGAGGCGGTGTTTCTCTTCTTCAGACAGCACTCACTATACTCCAAGACACTATTACACCAAGCACAGGATGGCTAGCGGCGACGTTTGCGACTTCAAGACAGGCGGGGCGGGCGGAGCACCGGCTCATGGACACTCGCATGAGCACTCGCACGACCCACAGCCAGGCAGCCAAGGACCATGGGCACACCCACGATGTGCTGGACCACCCGGGGCGGTATGACGAGCGGCCGCCGTACAACCGCACGGGGCGGGACTGGGGTGAGCGGGCGTTCACGGTGGGCATCGGCGGGCCGGTGGGCAGCGGCAAGACGGCGCTGATGCTGCAGCTGTGCCGGGCTTTGCGCGACAAGTACAATGTGGCATGCGTGACCAACGACATTTTCACACGGGAGGATGCTGAGTTCCTGACCAAGAACGGTGCGCTGCCGGCCGAGCGCATCGTGGCTGTGGAGACCGGCGGGTGCCCGCATGCGGCGGTGCGCGAGGACATCACGGCCAATCTGCATGCGCTGGAGACGCTGCAGGCGCGGTTCGGCACAGAGCTGCTGCTGATCGAGTCGGGCGGCGACAACCTGGCGGCCAACTTTAGCCGCGAGCTGGCCGACTACACCATCTATGTCATTGATGTTAGCGGCGGCGACAAGGTGCCACGCAAGGGCGGGCCAGGCATCACGCAGAGCGACCTGCTGGTGATCAACAAGACTGATCTGGCTGAGGCGGTGGGCGCCGACCTGGGCGTCATGCAGCGTGACGCTGACCACATCCGCGACGGCGGCCCAGTCACCATGGCGGTGGTCAAGCACGGCAAAAACGTCGATGAGATTGTCCAGCACGTTCTGGAGTCGTGGCAGGACTGCGTTCCTGGTGCCAAAATCAAGGCGTAAATGGTCGGCCAGTGCTACCAGGTCTAGCTGACCCAGAGATGCCCAGCCATCGTCACCGCCACCATCATCTGACTCGTCAGCATTCCCACTCACTCAGGCTCTCTTCACTATTTAAATTCTATTCACTTGAATTCCTGGCCCAATGTACATTGGAATCATCGGTACGTTTCGGTGGAGTTGGCCTTGCGCGCCACCAGCACATGGCATTCTTATCAACACCTCTGGCCTGCTGGACCTGTAGGCTCGAAGGCAAGCGGCAAGGAGGAAGTGGCAAAGTACCTGGTCAGCCAGCACCAGTTCACGCGCCTGTATTTGCGGCCTGGTGCACCGGCATTGACGACCACCAGCACCGACGGGTCGCAAACCGAGTTCCAGTCAGCCAAGGACATGCTGAGCTTCACCACACCACGCTGGCGGACCCGATTTGTGACGACGGATGTCACGGACCCAGTTGACCTGTACCTGCTGCTCAAGCGGCCATTCTTCATGGTGGTGGGCATTGACGCACCGCTGGGGCTTCGGTACAGGCGGTACACCGAGCGGTAAGTGTTTGTTGGTGGTGGCAGGCGGATAGAAAAGCACAGCAGGGGAAGCTAAAGCTAAAGCTACAAGGCAAGTCATGCGTCTGTAGATCGATGCGGCAGGCAGACTCTGTGATGTCGCTAGACGAGTTCGTTGCGCTGGACGACAGCCTCATGTATGCAACGCCGCGGGGACCGGCTGCCACCCCGTCGCCCGGGCCGCTGGAGATGCGGGACGAGGAGAAGATGCCCAAGCAGCTGATGTCGCCGATTCTGCGCAGCGCCAACCCGTCGCAGGAGCTCAGCCTGAAGCGCATGCTGGCGAGCGCCAACGTATCAGTCACCAACACGTTTGGCAGCGTGAGTGAGCTGCATGAGTACTTGGACAAGCTGGACCTGCTGAACAGCGAGCGGCTGCGGCCATCGTGGGACACGTACTTTATGCTACTGTCGGAGCTGGCGTCGCATCGGGCCAACTGCATGAAGCGCAAGGTGGGGTGCATTCTGGTCAAGGACACCCAGATCATCGCCACCGGCTACAACGGCACTCCCAAGGGCATCACCAACTGCAACGAGGGCGGGTGCCCGCGCTGCAACGCCGGCACGCCGTGTGGGGTGTCGCTGGATCACTGCCTGTGTATCCACGCCGAGGAGAATGCTCTGCTGGAGGCTGGCCGAGGCCGTGTGCGCAACGCCCAGGGCGTGGTGCTATACTGCAACACGTGCCCATGCCTGGGCTGCGCAAAGAAAATCGTGCAGGTCGGCGTCGGGACCGTGGTCTACTCCAAGGGCTACGGAATGGACGCCCTGACCCTGAAGCTGTTTAAGGAGGCTGGCATCGAAGTGCGCCAGCACACGCCGCCGACGCTCAGCATGGAGATCGGGTCGCCGTAGGACTCTGCTTTTCACCAATACACATATTTTATACACAGCTGGGAGCGGTCTGAATTCTCTTTCTATACATCGCCGAACCGGCACCGGATTATCGCCTCCGGCTTCAGGCGCTGCCGGCACCAGTCAACCACGCTCTCGTCCACGCGGCTGCACTGGACGAAGCTGAGTTCCGTTAGCGTGAACACGCATCCCAGCCCGTTGGAGCCCTCCACAACCGCACGGATGCCGGCCTGCGTAATCCGCCAGCACAGATCGAGCGACAGCCGCGACAGCCGCCGCAGATGGTCTCCAATCGCTGACAGCGCTGCGTCCTCGATGCGCAGCCCCGAAAGATCCAGCTCCTCCAGATCCACGCATCCCCGTACCAGCTCAATCACCCCGCTGGTGGTGCACTCCATGCACCCGCTGACGTTCAGATCCCGCAACCCACCGCACTGTTGTGCCAGTGCCCGGAGCCCGTCATCGCCTACGCGCAGCGAGTCGTGGATGTCCAGCACCTGCAGTCCCGCGCACTGCCGCGCTAGCGCTGCGACAAACTCGTCGGTGACTGTGTCGTTTTCGCCGCAGAGCGCCAGCCGCACGAGCTGGGGAACCCCAGTCGCAAACATTAGCAGGCTGCGCCCCTCTAGCCCCGCTTCCCGCCGCGCCCCCGCTGCCATGCCAAAGTCGATATCTCGCATGCCCACATCGCGCAGCTCCGTCTCTGCTCTCTGCCCCATCGCCAGCGCCCCTAGCCCCAGAACCGTTGTCCGTGTCAGCGACACATCGATGTGCTGCAGCGTACCACCGAATGCCGCGGTGATCCGCCGCACGCTCCGGTCATCAATCTGCGGGCAGCATCTGAGGGTTAGCGACTGCAGCCCCGGGAGTGCCCTGCGCTGCTGATCCGCCGCTGCTTCGTGGCAGAACCGGATCCCCGCTGCGCCTACCACCGGAAAGGCATCGCAGGTTATGTACCGGCAATGGCTCAGGTCTAGCTGCCGGAGCCGTGGCGAGCTGAGCCACAGGCTCTGGACCGCATAGTCTGCAATGTCCGTGGTGCTCAGCGCCACAACCTCCAGGTGCGCTCCAATCTTTGGAATCAGTGCTCCTAGCACCGCGTTGCTTATGCGGTTGCTTGCCCGCACCTCCAGGTGTCTGATGTTGGTGCATCCAAATACCGCCAGCGTCTGCAGCCCGTCATCCGACAGAAGCGGTGCGAAAAACAGCGCTATCCGAGCCAGCGCCGGCCCGGCCCGCCGCGCCAGTACCTTCAGGTGCTGGTCCTGCAGCAGCTGCATTTTCACCGTTGTTTCCTCTCGCTCTGAGCCGTCTGCGTTGGTCTTCTGCACGCCCACGTGGTGGAAGCCCATGTCAATGTTCTTCCACAGCACCGCCCAGCTATCCAGCGCATAGTACCACCTCCTCGACACCAGCATGCATTCTGCAAGCTCGTGTATGCCAAGGTGCCGGAAGATCGCAATGCTAATGTCATTCGGCAGCCGCTCGACCGGATCCATGTATAGTGTGTGTATTTTTAGGAGTGATGTATGAGAGTGGCGCCTTCTCTGGTCCTGGCCGCCCCTGGGCCACTCCCGAGCCAATTATATCTGCGTCATCTGCGGACCCCGACCGTATGGGACCAGCTAATCGGCGAATGCGGCTGATCGAAGCGCTGAGTCAAAACACGTCTGTGGAGTTCCGAGGGAAAGTGGCCCATCTCTTATAGCACGGCCGTTACTCGGACCCCTCCATTCGCAGGCCACCGAACAGCACTGCAGGTCTGGGCTCTTGCTCGGCCGACGCTGGTCATCCCCATATCGAGCAATGGGACCCCATCCTACGAAATATGCTTTTTTGTTCGCTGCAAAACTACCGCAACATCCCCTCTTTCTGGCTTGCGTGTCAGATACGCTCATATGCCGCTTGTCTCCTGGTTTTGTGTGGGCAATATCTGCCCGGTAGATGCCGCTGGGGCGGGCAGGCGTGCCGATGGGGAGGGATTCGGGCTTGCAGACGAATGCACTGATATGCATGTCGATCCATCCCACTCATGCATCGGGCCACTTTGGCCTGATGTCCTCCTTTCGCATGGAAGCGTCGGGCAGGTTTCCTCTGTGCCAAAGTGCTTTCAGAACCGGTCCAGGTCACGGGGCCCACGGTCTCGCTGTCCTTCCAGCTTTCCCACACCCACTGCTGACACTAGCGTTGATGTTCTGGCTGCCTTTGCGTGACGCTCGAGACTTGCTGCTCACAAAAGAGTTGCTTTTTGGTCCTGCAATAAAAGCTCATTTCCTTTGCATAGCATTCGCGCTCCTGGCAGCAGAAACAGGGCGCGAGCTCTGGTGATCACAATAACAAATACTGCCGTCTTTCTGGCCATCCGCTGATCTTGTACCACACGCTTCAATAAACCTGCTCTTTGCACACCAGCGCCGATGCCGGCACCAGCATATCAGGAATGGCTCCCAGAATTGCAATATTTACTGAACGCCCAGGAACCGCGCTGCTACAGGCCGGTATAAATAGACCCAGCGCGCTGATCTGGAGGTACGCAAAAACACCGACGCAGGTCCAACATCGCTTCCCGCCCTTTTGCCAAAACATCTCGCTCGACGTGCGCTGGGTGGGCGACCAGCAGCCTGCGTCTGCGTCTTTGGGATATCATCATATTGCTCCTCCCAGAGCGACCTGCCGCCCCAAAAACAGAGTTGCGTGCCAGAACTCTCTTGTTCTGCGGCTTGCACAATGTCCAAAAGCAATACATTGCAGGTATTGAAAGGCATTCCTCGCTCACAGTGTTATAAATAGCCAGTTTGCTGGTGGAATGAGGCAGTCTGGACCGCTGCCCGCTTTGTTTGCGGGCTTTGTTTGTAGCTTCCAGCAGATGGGTGATCGCAACAATTGTTTGTAGCGATGCTAACCGTCTTGGCGATTGTCTGCCGTGTTGGGACCTTTCTCCGAGCTAATAAACGCACTGTGCGTCAATGGACCATACATTGACCTACCTGCACACGCAGTTGCACTGCTTGTTATATGTACCAGTCAGCAGCTGATGTGGAGCCGTCTGCCAATGATCCATATCGCCGACGCCCAACCGTCGCACGTTTCGCCTAGAAATCCATGACATCAAGCAATCCCGTCTCGGTCAGGGCAGACGAAATCCGAGAATTGCCCCCCAAAAGAGATGGGTGAGAGTGGACTGCGGGCGCAGAGCGCCTGCAATTTCGCAGGTCGATAAGGGGGAGGCAGCAGCAGTGATTTGCAATGAGGGGCCGCCATACAGGCCGCAAACCTGAGCCAATGAGGACCGCAACGGCGCTGCGGTGGAAATGTGTCGCAGCTTTTAGAAATCGATGATCGCCGGCTATATAGCAAAAAAACAAGCTGGTGCGACATCAGTCCACTGAGGACCGCTTCTTCATACCACACGCTGTGCCTAGCGGCACGTCTGGTGGGGAGCAGAAAAATAGATTCCTTTCCGGAGCCAAAGACCACGCAAGAAAGAGGAGGTGTCGTCTACATTGGGCTGGCAGGAAGGGCGGGTGGGGCATTCTGCATGTCTCGTCGCCAGCCAGCCCGCCAGCCCGCCCACAGTCATGCAGGCTAGGTAGTCATGCGCAGCACAGAAAAAGCGCTGGTTCAACACTCGGGCGGTCCGCCTCGGGCCGTTCACATGGCAGCAGTCCCGGCAGCCTTCAGGCGATGGGCCAGGCGCGATTGTCGATGACCACACTGCGCTGGGCGGCAGCCTTGGCTCGCGGAATACGCAAAAGGAATCACAACAAAACGAACTTATTTTTAGGAGAGCGAGCGGCACGGCAAATGGGCGAGTATGGAGGGACGGCGAGGGGGTCATCGACCCACACATGCACGGGCGATCGCCCAATCGCTTCGCATTTGTTGCGCTCTTTCACATTGCGCTCCCTTTGGCCGCGCATTCCATGCCAATAGAGCGCAAAAGGAGGATGGAATAGGCGGTGGGAGCAGTCTGATGGACGCGCGGCTGCATACCCCAGCCCAGTGTTTGGCCAGCCTATTGCAGTGTGAATGGTGACAATATAAAAACATCGGTCCTCACAGGCAGGCTGGAAAAGTCTCATTATCGTTTCCCCCACCTGCTTCAACGACTTTTTCTCATATAAATTAGACCGCATCCTCCTGGACCGCTTGCTGCAAAAGGTAGAAATACAATTTTTCTTTACTTCCTCTTCTCTTCGCTCTCTACCCTCCCAACTCTCCCTTCTAACACCCGCGACTTACCTTTCCGCCCCCTTTTGCGTTGCTTCTACAGTACTTAGGCCCGGCGCATAATAACGTAGAATACGGCTAACAAATAACCACATCTTTGTACCACCCCCACACAAAAGACACATAACGACAAAAATGAAGTTCAACCAGGCTCTCATGGCTCTTGCCACCTTCGGTAGCGCTGCTCTTGCCGCCCCGATGAAGCGCAACGAGTATGCTGTCAACACCAACGCCTACTCGGCTGTCCCTCCCCCCTACTCGGCTGCCCCGGTCACCACTGAGGCTCCCTCGACTGCTGCCCCTGGCTACAGCACCACCGAGGCCCCGGTCACCACTGAGGCTCCCTCGACCGCTGCCCCTGGCTACAGCACCGAGGCTCCGGCCACCACCTCGGTCCCTGTCCCGACCACCGCGGCTCCTGGCTACAGCACCGCTCCTGCCGAGACCACCCCGGCTCCTGGCTACAGCACCGCCCCTGCTGAGACCACCCCCGCCCCTGGCTACAGCACCGCTCCGGCCGAGACCACCCCCGCCCCTGGCTACAGCACTGCTGAGCAGTCGTCGGTCGAGTCCAAGGTCACCACCGCCCCTGGCTACAGCACCGCTGAGGAGTCGTCGGCTGAGGAGTCGACCTGCGAGGAGTCCTCCGCCGCTGAGACCACCCCCGCCCCTGGCTACAGCACCGTCGAGTCCGAGGTCACCACCGCCCCGGCTCCGACCACCCCGGCCCCTGGCTACAGCACTGCCCCCGCTGAGACCACCCCGGCTCCTGGCTACAGCACCACCGCGGTTGTCCCCACCGAGGTTGCGACCACCCCCGCCCCTGGCTACAGCACCACCGAGGAGTACGAGTATTGCTGCGAGGAGGTCACCGTCACCGTGACTGCTCCGGGCAACCAGGTCCCGGGTGCCACCGTCACCGTGACCGTCACCGCTCCGGGCAACGAGGTGCCGGGCGCCACCGTCACCGTTACCAAGGCTGTCACTGAGACCGTCACCGCCCCGTGCGGTTACGAGACCACCCCGGCTCCGGGCTACAGCACTGTCAAGTCCGAGGTGACCACTGCCCCGGCTCCGACCACCCCGGCCCCTGGCTACACCACCGTCCCCGCTGAGACCACCCCGGCTCCTGGCTACACTACGGTCCCCGCTAAGACCACCCCGGCTCCGGGCTACAGCACCGTCGAGTCTGAGGTGACCACTGCCCCGGCTCCGACCACCCCTGCCCCTGGCTACACCACCGTCCCGGCTGAGACCACCCCTGCTCCGGGCTACACCACCGTCCCCGCTGAGACCCTCCCCTACTGCGATGAGGAGACCACCCCTGCTCCCCAGGAGACCACCTCCTACTGCGAGGAGACCACTCCTGCTCCTCAGGAGACCACCTCCTACTGCGAGGAGACCACCCCGGCTCCGGGCTACAGCACCGTCGAGTCCGAGGTGACCACTGCCCCGGCTCCGACCACCCCGGCCCCTGGCTACACCACCGTCCCCGCTGAGACCACCCCGGCTCCTGGCTACACCACCGTCCCCGCCGAGACCACCCCTGCTCCGGGCTACACCACCGTCCCCGCCGAGACCACCTGCGAGGAGACCACCCCCGCTCCGGGCTACAGCACCGTCGAGTCTGAGGTGACCACTGCCCCGACTCCGACCACCCCTGCCCCTGGCTACACCACCGTCCCCGCTGAGACCACCCCTGCTCCGGGCTACACCACTGTCCCTGCTGAGACCACCTGCGAGGAGACCACCCCCGCTCCTTCGTCGGTCAAGTCCGAGGTGACCACTGCCTACGAGACCACCTCGGCCCCTGGCTACACCACCGTCCCGGCTGAGACCACCCCTGCCCCTGGCTACAGCACTGTTGAGTCCGAGGTGACCACTGCCTACGAGACCACCCCCGCTCCGGGCTACAGCACCACCGAGGAGGCGTCGTCGGCTGTTGAGACCACCTGCACTGAGGGCAAGTCGTCGGTCGAGTCCGAGGTGACCACTGCCTACGAGACCACCTCTGCTCCGGGCTACAGCACCTCTGCTGAGGAGTCGTCGGCTGCTGAGACCACCTGCACTGAGGGCAAGTCGTCGTCGGTTGAGTCCGAGGTGACCACCGCCTATGAGACCACCTCCGCCCCTGGCTACAGCACTGTTGAGTCCGAGGTGACCACTGCCTACGAGACCACCCCCGCTCCGGGCTACAGCACCTCTGCCGAGGAGTCGTCGGCTGCTGAGACCACCTGCACTGAGGGCAAGTCGTCGTCGGTTGAGTCCGAGGTGACCACTGCCTACGAGACCACCTCTGCTCCGGGTTACACCACCACTGAGGAGGCGTCGTCGGCTGCTGAGACCACCTGCACTGAGGGCAAGTCGTCGTCGGTCGAGTCCGAGGTCACCACTGCCTACGAGACCACCTCTGCTCCGGGTTACACCACCACTGAGGAGGCGTCGTCGGCTGCCGAGACCACCTGCACTGAGGGCAAGTCGTCGTCGGTTGAGTCCGAGGTGACCACCGCCTATGAGACCACCTCCGCCCCTGGCTACAGCACTGTCGAGTCCGAGGTGACCACCGCCTACGAGACCACTTCTGCTGAGGAGTCGTCGGCTGCTTACGAGACCACCACCGAGGAGGCGTCGTCGGCTGCTGAGACCACCTGCACTGAGGGCAAGTCCTCGGTCGAGTCCGAGGTGACCACCGCTGAGGAGTCGTCGGCTGCTTACGAGACCACCACTGCTGAGGAGACCACCACTGCTCCGGGCTACTCCACCGCTGAGGAGACCACCACTGTTGAGGAGACCACCGCCGAGCAGACCACCCCCGCTCCGGGCTACAGCACCGCTGCCCCGTCGTCGGTTGAGTCCGAGGTGACCACCGCCTACGAGACTACTCCCGCTCCGGGCTACTCTGCCGTCCCGGTCGAGACCACCCCCGCTCCGGGCTACTCCGCCGTCCCTGTCAACAGCCCGTACTACTAAGTAGTGCACTAGAGCTCAGTGCTGACTCGGTCGTTTAATCCTGTTCTGATGGTTCAAACTTTTGTCATTTTTTCCTTTTCCTTTTTCTCTTCTAGTTAATGATTTCAAGCCCAATACAAAAAACATAACATTTAGCCCGTGTCGTGTTGGCAGGCATTGCCTAGACGAGTATCCCGAAATGCATAGGGCGCTTCAGGCGGCAGCTGTTCTGCCAGA